TATTACATAATTTTAGAAGGATAAACAACCTTAGCCATCAGCCAACATTTCACAAATGAAGCCCAGACAGGAAAAATAACTCACTTAAGGTTATATGCTACTTAAAGTAAAACAAGAACAGAAGAGCCCAGATTCTTGATTCCCATCCAGACCAGTGTTCCTGGATTTCCAAAATGCTGTTTCAGTTCTTACAAAACAAGAGATCCTTTTTAATTCTATGACAACTCAGCCCTACCTGAAAGAAAAAGTTCATTCACATTTTTTCAATGCCATTATGACTAGCAGTTCTGACTTACAGGCAGCAAAATAAGTCATTATCTGAACAGCTGAGAAAGGAGGTTTGCTCAATTTATCAGCATTTTGAGGTCATCCGAAGAGTCTGCAATTTCTATACCTCACACAAATGGTCAATAAATTCATTAGTTCATTATCTCACACATTGCTTCTCCTATTGAGGGGCTCAGTAGTGGACTCTGAGAATCTTCAAAAGAGAATATGATATGGTCTATTTATCCAACACCAATATAGGTCAGTAGAAATAAACATTGCTAAATATCCATTTCATAGCATAATAACTTCTTTTATTTTATAAAAAATAACATGGTCCTTGCTTTTCCAAATAATATAGTTTAAAATAAAAACCCCCTTCCGTCCCAGACTCCGAGTTCCTACCCTTAACAATTCCTTGGGTACCTTCCAGACATTGTCCTATAGACACACATCCATACATCTCTCTCTTTTCTTGTACAAATGGGAACATATACATCATATTATTCTATATCTGGATTTTTACACTAGGCAATATACCTTGGCAATTTCTCTATATCAGCACACACAGCTCCATTAATTTCCTTCTAGCTATGGAGTATTCCATCGAGATGATACACTATAAATTTTCAACCAGCCTCTTCTATGGATATTAAAGTTATTTTCAGGTTTTGCTCTTGCAAACAATGCAGCAGTGGTTACACTTTCATACACATCCTTATGTGCATTTTCAGCATATTTGTAGAATAAATTCCCAAAACTGAATTGTTGGGTCAAAGGGTTATTAATTTTCTAATTTTGTATGATATTGCCAAATAACACTCTTAAGAGAACAAGAAGAAAACACATCTAAGAATGTTGTGTTAATGTACACCCCGTTCACAGTGTGTGAGTGCTGGTTTCCCAGACCCTTGTTAGTACCTAACTTTATCAAGGTGATAGGCAAAAATAGTGTCTCAGTCCAAGTTCTTCTTAATTTTCAGTGAGTGTAAGCATCTTTTCATGTTGATAGTCTTATTTATTATGATTTTTATGTTGACTACCTGCCTTTTCCATTTTCTTTTTTGTTTATCTATTGAATATCAAAATTTTTAATCTTTGTCTTATGTGTTGCAAATATTTCTTTCTCAGTTTATCACCTGTCTTTAGTATATTTTGCTGTACTGAAATTGAAGACATATATAGATCTATGTATATATCTCCTATATATGAGAGAGAGAAAGAAATTAAATCATTTTCCTTATGACTTCTCAAAAGGGTCTCAGAGATTCTGAGATTTGGGTCTTGCTTTCAAAGGACTTTCTTCACTCCAAATTATAAAATGAATTATCTTATATTTTCTTCTGGTAATTTTATGGTTTTATTTTTTTAAATTCAAATGTTTGAGTCCAACTTCCACTCTAGGTTAGAATGTAGAGTGACACGAAAGACCTTTGCTTGCATGGTAATACCAAGAAAATCCCAGACATCAAAATCTTACTTTCCTGAGGAACTAACAAAGATCAGAGACAAAGGAAGGCTTAATGAACTGAATCTCAGAGAAATGAGCCCTTCACTGGCAAGCAGAGAGCAGGACAGCCTCTACTCCAGGGCAGAGTGTCTGGTTGGCCCTGGCAGGGGTATCTGTCAGGGCTGTCCTAGGAAGACTTCACAGAGATGAGAAGATATCAGCTGAGCTTCAAAGGGTAGTGGAGGTTACATTGGTGAGATGGAATATGGAAGTGTCCCAACTGCAAAAATAAATTGACCCAACAACTCTCACATTCCATCCCTACCCTTCAACTTTGAAAAAAAGAATCCATTTTTTTTAATAATGTTCAGCACTTGAACATTATCATTTCATTGCCTTCTGTCTTGTGTTGTTTCTGATTAGAAGTTAGCCATCATTCCTACTGATGACATTTCGTTAAAAAGAAAATGTCTTTTCAAACTCTAACTCAGTGGGGTAATTTCTATCAACCTGTATTTAAGTTCACTGATGTTTTATTTATTAAAAAAAATATAAATGAACTGAACTTATAAATGTATAAGTGTTCTATAAATCTATTTATAAGTAAAGGAAGGGCTAAATTGCAGAGCAAAATGACAGATATTCCTGCTTTTCTACAGTGTTTGGATTCCAGGGCTCTGCTGAGTTGAATCCAAAGTAAATGAAAAATATTTAAAACAAAGGCCATCAGCTCAAATATTGATAATTTCAAAAGACATTAATAGTGTGGGAATTTGTGGATCATTCTAAGAATAAGGCATCTCTATCTAATTAGAACTTGAGCCCAGACCCAGGTCTGTTCGACTCTAGAAGGAACCTTACTAATCAACCCTTCACCATGTCAGACAGAAGAAAAAAAGCCTGAATTCTCTGAGAAATAAAGTCAAAACATTATTATACTTCAGTTTTCATTGTCTTTGTATACATTCACCTTAGATACAATAAAAAGTGATGATACATTCAAACAAACAGGAGACACTGACCAATAATTAAGGGAAATCATAGTCAATAGATGAAGACCTGCAGTTAGCCTGTTATTGGAACTAGCATCAAGAATTTTAGAACAATTATTACAAATATTTTAAGAATTTACATAAACAGATGAATAGAATGAGTAAGAGATAGGGGATATTTCAGGAGAGAAAAGGGAACTCTAAAAAAGGACAAAGTGAAAAGTCTAGGATTGTAAAATGCAATGTCTGAGATAAAAAAATCCACTAGACAGTTTGAATCTTCAAAAGAAAATATTAGTGAACTTAAACACAGGAAGACAGAAAATACCCAGCTGAGTCAGAGATTGAAAAGAGAATTTTTAATGAAGTGTCAACAACAGGAATGGTGTCTGACTTCTAATGAGAAACAACACAAGACAGAAGACAGTGCAATGATAATGTTCAGGTGCTAAAAGAAAAAAACACTGTCAACCTAGAGTTCTATGTATAGTGAAACTATCTTTCAGAGGCAGCACATGGACAAACCAGATAGATAAAAACAGTCACAGTGTGGCAATCTTAAGTAGGAAGTAACAGATATCCAATTCTAAGGGACCAAAAATATGTCTGGTTCCCACAGTTCTTGTCATTAATGCTGATACAGTGTCCTAACTGATAAGAAGCCATTGTCCTTTTCCTCTTGAGTAGTGACTGTCTAGTCACAGATGTATTTTCCTGACTCCTGCATTTCTTACATTGCTTTTTTAGTGACAAGTCACCACTGAAGTAAGAGAAAGTCTCTATTCCTTTCAACCTGAAAGAGGCAAATTAATACAATTTTTTGAGATAAGATGGTTCCTCATCTAAGTGTTTGGTACATTTCACAAACATTTTCTATTAAAGCACAGAGGAAAGCCAGCCTGGCAGAAGAACAGAGCCCAGGACTGCTTCCCAGCATTGCAGACTCTTTCTAGGCAACCATTTCCTTATTACACATGAGGACTAAATATCTTTCAAATAAAATTATGTAAATGTTCACAAACTCTCTTCAGAGAGAAAGTAGAAAATGAATGAGATACTACCCGTTGGTTTACAAAAAAAGAGAACAGATTGTTGGCTTTGATGAGACAGTCCAAATTTTTTATGAAGAATGTGGACTGGTGTCTGGGGGAAAGTCTACACATGGGAAGTTCCTTAGGAGGGGAACAGTAAAGAACTTTACACTGCTTGTGCACTTGAAGCCAAAATGAGTTTATGGGAGTCTTTTCTAAATTACTTCAGTTAAAATAAATTGTCCCTTATAGTTATCATTTAGCACTGTATTTCATCTACAGCTTGCATTCAACAAACAGTTGTTTGGCTATTACTGGGAATAATTGTTGAAGGAAACATTACCCCCCAGTCCCTTCACTGTGGTGGAATGTTGCCAGTTATTTTTGGGCAGTGGTTTTTTTGTTGTTGTTGTTTCTTTTTTTAATGTTGTTTGGACTCCACCTTGTGTGAAGAGCTGGTCCAAAGATGGATATATTTCCTTTGGCTCCTCAACCTTCATTTTACATATGCTTGGAAGGGCTCCATGGTAGTAACTTAAAGGAGTTAGCAGAATTACTAAAAGCCAGTATTCACAAACTACCATCAACAATTTCTAGACTTTATCAGAGATTCTGGCTCAGAATTCTTCTAAAAATCTAGACTACTGTTTTAGGGCTTGTAATGTTGCAAAGCCTCCCACAGCAGGTTTTGTGGTCAATGCATAATCACTCAAGGTGTATCATTGCATCAGGAAGGTTTTGGCAACAGATAACAGAAACCTCACTCAAATGGCTTAAAGATAAGCACACATATTGTTACACACACAAGAAGCACGAAGTTACAGAAGCTCAGCTCCTCAGATCTGTCTCTGTATCACTTTGTCCTCAGGCCATACCTGTCAAGGTTGCAAGGTAGACCTTTATAAAAGGCATTGTATTCTGACCCAACAGTGTCCAGAAGAGCTCTTGTCACCTGCCTGTGCCTAACCCAGTCACCAGCAGGGAGACTTGGACTTACACAGACTATATATAATAATAAAGTGGGCCAGCCTCTCCTAACACGTGGGCTGTACAGAGGAGAATATATTCCTCAACTAATTCTGGGCTCTGCTGGGAAGGAGGAAGGATGACAGGTGACAGGGAATTCTGCTGTTACATTTTTCAGTTACTGGTATTGTTGCTTTTTAATTAGTTTCCTTAGTTTTGTTTGTATTAATTTAATTTGTTATCATAATTTTGCCAAATGGGCCATGTGCAATGATGCATTATCTTCATCAACAGGGTTCTGGACTGCAGTTTTCCCATAACTAAATGTAAAGACATGTGACCTTTGGGAACCGAGAAAAAAGGATCCACATCCCATTGCCAAAGCAGGTAAATCCACAGTCCTCACCACCATCACAGATACCCCCACCTGGCTTCTCCAGTGACCACTGTTGTTACCAGAGTTTTTCCGATAACAAAAAAAAGGGAAAGAAAAAATGAGCTTTGTGTGCTTATGGGGTATGTTATCCTGCCTCAGTGGGCTCTGCTGAGAGAGCTTTGAGAGTCTGCTTTGGATAGGAACTCCCTGCTAGCTGTCCATTCTTCTTTGGCACAGTGCAGAAAGGAGCTACTGATTGATCCCTTGGTCTCATACATACTTACTCCAGTCAGAGGGCATGGAGACCCACTTTTCCTCACCTGTCTCTTCTATCTGAAATTGGCAGAAACAAGATCACTATTCAGTGGACCTTCTCCACGTGTTTTACAAAGTAAAGAGATCAAGGCTCAAGAACTAAAAATACAACTGTGCCGGCTGGAGTAATTCCAAGTTAATTACTACTACCATTAGGCATTGAATAAAATATTGGCACTTAAACTGTACATGCTACAAAGTTCAGGCCCTCAGCACATCTCACGTAGATTAGTCCAACTGCTTCTTACTTGGTCCCTTTGACTCTCTAGTTCGTCTCGCAGACTGTTCCAGAGGGATCTTTCAAAAACATAAATTTGGTCATGTTATTTCCTTGCCTAAAATCCTTAAAATGATCTCTACAAGTGTCTTAGTCTGTTTGGGTTGCTGCAACAGAACACCATAGACTGGGTGGCTTATGACAACAGAAATTTATTTCCCACAGCCCCGGAAGGTGGAAGTTCAGCAGATTCGGCATCTGGTGGGGCTGCTTCCTGGTTCGTGGATAATGTCCCCTCACTGTCTCCTCACCTGGAGGAAGGGGAGAGGGCTCTCTGGGGTCCCATCAGGAGGCTCCACCCTCATGACACTGTCACCCTAGGGGTTAGGATTTTCACAGACAAATTTGATGGCACTGAGGGAAGGACACATTCTGTCTATAAAGAAAAATAAATAGGCACAAGTGACCATTTGTGTTCTGGCTGCTGCCTATCTTTCCAACCTCATCTCTTGCCCCAGCAAAATCTTACTGGCTGCTGCAGTCTGACAGCTTGCCTGGAGCATACTCTGTGCTTCCGGCCTTTGCATGTGTTGCTCCCTCTACCTGGAATGTTCTTTCTTAATTTTCTTCTGTTACATTCTCATTTATCCCTCAAAATTCAATCCAAACACTACATTCTCTTTGAACACCTGCCTTCACAATACCAGAAAAAAACTTAGTTAACCTACCTTTGATGCAGTATTAGTAGTGTTTAAAGACGGTGGACTTCAGAGACAAACTATCTAGGTTCGAATTCAAATTTCACACCATACTGGCTATGTGGCCTTGTCAAGAACTATGCAGGATTTGAGATTTTATCCTACTTACAACAAACTATCATGTGTGCCTGTTAGTGCTTCATAGAAGCTGGCAGAAGACACGACTCCTGGGTCAGATAAAAAGGACTTTGTTACAACATAAGCGACTGATTGAGCTTCAGGTTAGTGGGTGTTGGCTCCCATGGCCCCCAAGCACCCTGGTGGTAACACAAAGGGCCCGTTATGGATGCAGGCACATACAATGGGGTGCATTGCAGGAGACGGACACTGGGCCTGGGGGATGTCATGCTTTTACAGTACACGGAGTGGAAAGCCTTCTCTTTGTCCGGGGAAGGTATTACCTCATCCCTCAAGGCTGCTCACTGCAAATGCAGCCCTGGGAAACAGCCCAGGTAAAAGGCAGCCGAGACCTTGAGTTCTTGGTGCACCAGTAGGTCATCCAGGAACTCGGGGTCCATGGTGCACTGCCTCTCCCAAAACCATCAGGCACATTATATGCCCTCTTGGTGTCTCACTCTCCTTGTCTCTCAAGTTGGGAACATAATGGTCCCTGCAGTATAGGGGCATTGTGAAGGTTCAAAGAACTAATACATGCTCAGCTCTTAGACAAGCTCCCAGCCCAGAATAAGTGATTGGTAAGCTCTAGTCATTAATAACACTACAATCTTCCCCCTTCCTCCTACCCAAATATTTCATTTGTAGCCTTTATCACATGTGTCGCTGACACATTTTTCTTGTGTCTTGGCCTAAGTGCTCCTTGAGGCACATTCATCTTTGCATCCCAGATGCCAGGCCAGGGTGGGCAGCGATTATATTTGCTGAATGAAGGAATCAATGAATTGACTGCTTGTATATCCAACTGTGCAAGGTCTATAGAGTCCTTTCTATATGTACTTCTGATCACACTTGAAGGCCCCAAACCCTCCAGTCCTTTAGTGGGTGAGGAAGGTCATTCCCTTTTACATAGCCCTCTTCTCTAACAGAATGACATGTCATGGCAGTTGCACCTTCCGTACAAGATCAATCCCTCCAACAGATGGAAACTCATCTGTTCTTATCCACTTCTAGTTCTGTAAAATGGAAATGATGATAGTGTCTACCTCATAGTATTGCTGGGGTACAAAATGGGTTCATGCATGTAAAATGCTTAAGACAGCACTTAGCACACACTAAATGTGTTATTATTTATTCCTCACTAGACCTCATATCCTATTCTATTCATTCAGTTACAGGAAGTCATGAGAGGTCATTATTTCAGTCTCTTGCAATGCAGAAAAGACCAGTTTCATTTTGCACTGCTGTGGCTCCAACTCAGAACACAGCATGTGTGTGGGCAGGGGTCAGATGGGCCATTGTTCCATGAGTGGCGCCCAGAAGCCAATCCCTGGGGCCCATGGAGTCCATGGAAGCTGCCCTGGCTGAGCCCAGGGCTTTCTCTGACCTAAGCAGCCAAAGAGGTGACCCGGCACCTATCTCAGAATCCAGAAAGGACACCTACTCAATAAGTCTCTGAAGAATGAACGGAAAGGAATGCATTAATAAGTTAATGAAGTATGGAAGAGTTACTGAAACTGCTTAATATGGTCATTGCTTCACATACCTGATGGGAAAATCATCACCCAGTATTTTTTCTGAAATAAACTGGGCTCTAGGTGAGTGACTAACTGTTCCTCTCATAATGTCAGATTCTTTTAGCTGAGCTTCCTGAGTAAGGGTCCTGAACCCCACTGCTTTGGCTGTGTAAACCTTGCTGAAAATAGACTGCCCTGTCATTTGGCACCAGGCACTCCTTTGTTAGCTAGGAAACGTAGCCTTTTAATATGTATGTGGATTACAAGTCTCTGGTGTATAATAAATAGCCAAAGCTCCACTCAGCCTAGAAACATTAGAACTGGGAAATGCGCATGGCCCTGCAGGTGAGGGCAGATTGACCACAGGTCTGCACTTGCCTTGGGTTTCACAATAGGACCTGTATTTCTTTGACCACAGTCACCTAGAACAGGAACTTAACCCCCAGCTGCCACCAGTGCTCGCCCACCTCTGACGACACACACCAGGCGGGCCAGTGATTCACAGAATGAACACACTTGTTCTCAGAGGTGAGAGCAAGACAATAAAAGGATGTCATGGACAGAAAGGGAAGTTCAAGTACAGAACATTCCAGAGTGGACATTCTAGTCCTGGCTTTAGCCCCACCTTGCCTTGTTATTGTATATTCACTATTCAATAATAGTCCCTGGGCTTTCTGGGGAAACAGATCCAAGAAGAGATAGATAGATAGATTCATGTTTATATGAGGAGATATGTGATGAAATATTGCCTCACATGATTATGGAGGCTGAGAAGTCCCACAATCTGCCACCTGCCAACCCGAGGCCCAGGAATGTCAGTAGGTCCCAGCCTGAGCACCCAGAACACTGACAGTAATTCCCAGGCAGGGGCAGGAGACGGCATCTCAGCTCAGCAGGCAGGCAAGGGAGCCAATGGGCTAATTTCCTGCTTCTACCTTTTTGTTCTATTCAGGCCTCCAACAGATTGGATGGGACCCACCCCATCTTCTTTACTTGAGTTCACCGATTCAAATGCTGATCCCCTCCGGAAACACCCTCCCAGGTACATCCAGAATTAGTGTTTAATCTGGGCACCCCATGGCTAGGTCAAGCTAACACAAAATTAACCATCACAGATATGTATAGTCTTGTGTGTGTGTGTGTGTATGCTATATATGTATATACATATATGTGTATAAAAATACATGTTTTAAAATATAGAGCTAGCTACTTAGCCTAAGCAATCATAGAATATTGTAGCTATAAGAAACTTTATTATCTTTCTGATGAAGAGGCAGATGTAAGCAAAATCACATATCACAAAGGCAAGACCAGAATTAGCTCCTGGATGTCCTGACTCCCAGCCTAAAGCACTTGCCACACGGAGCCATCCCTTCTCTTCTGTGCTTCTCAATCTTAACAATTTTATGGAATCTTTTGCATCTAAAAATCCCTGTATAAGGAACTCGGGCTCATTTTCAAAAAAAGAATGTAGCATTTAGTACCCAGTATGTACGGGGTGTTTAGAGAACTCTCACAAGTTCAGATGAGGACATCAGAAGCATGTCAGTGTATTGCTAGCTGCTCACCATTTCATGGCCTCTTCTGGGGCACACAGACCACAGTTCCAAACTTCCTGTGCGGTTAGGTCGGAATCACATGCTGCAATCTTGGCAAATGGAGTCTGTGCAGAAGGGACCAGTATCCTGTACCATCTTCCCCATCTGTGTGGTCAGAGCAGACGGCCCAGAGATGGCAGTCAGAGGTCTGCACAATGCACAGAGATAAGACCTGGGAAAACCTGCCCCGGAAGCCTGCCTGACCTGGAAAGGAGCGAACATGAGCTAAAAGGACATTGGTTTTGCTAAGCCACTGTACTTATAAAGCTGTTTGTTACAGAAGTGTTCCAAAGTCTATCAGTGCCCTGCCCCTTCATGTGCCCTGAGTCCACTCTGAAGGTGCCCTGCAGCTTCTTCTCGGGGACCCAGGTCTCTCTCTACCGGGGGATTTTCTATGACATAGGGCTTGTCCCGCATTTGGGATGATGGGCAAAAAGGGAGTTCTACCGTTGGGAGCAACCCTGATCCAGTAAGGGATAGAAGCTGGCACATAGATACCTCTGCTTTCTTGCCTCCTGGTCAACAGTTGTAAGGCACGCTCTACATTGTCCCAGAGCTCCCAGGCAGGAGTGAGCCTGGGCCTGCGCAGCGGTAAGCTTCTTACTATTGCAGACTTCACTGGCTTTCCTTCTTCCCAGCTTATTTCTCTGCTCTCTCACCATGCTTTTGGAGGCACTTCCCAAATCAACTGCTTATACCCAGATCCTTACCTCAGAGCCTTGCTTTGGAGAAGGCCATACTAACACAGGGCAACCAGCAGTCATTTCCACAGTAAGAAGAATGAATAACTTATGTGATTCAAATGTTTAGGATTGTATGTTCTGTCTATGGTTCTAGTAAAAGTAAAAGTAGGATAAGCTGGTAAAGTAGTACAGTCTTATGTATCTGATACTTCAGGAAAATGGCAAGGAATAATGAGTGAACAATCCTAAAATCGTTTGCAAATGTTATTTTTAAATTATTTGGCAAAAATATATAGTTATGACTGTTTTCTGATTACAAATCAGAACACTTTTAGTATATAAAATTTGGAAAACACAGAAAAACTTAAAGAAGAAAATAAAATGCCTCCATCTTCCCATGGTTGCTTTTAAAATTGGGGTGCACACAGCCTTTGGGGGCTTTTTTCTCTGCACATATATTTTAGCAAAATGGGATCACACTGTGTAAATAATATTATAGCTTGACTTTCTCACACACTGAAAACCAGATGTAGTCTTCAATGGCACTGCAGGTATTTCTGTAAAGTGGATTAACTCCATCAATTTGCAGATACAAACTGACATACTGTGCCAGAATGGTATTTTACTCTATATACCAGGACCATTTGATATACTAAAATAAAAATATTCAAAGAACAGGAAAAATTCAGCTTTACTTAGCACACTGTGTAACAGCAGAAATTTTATTTTTATCATTGTGTTTTCTCAGGAGTCTAGAAAAATGCTTGGCATAAGAACCTTTCCACAAATACCTATAAATAAGGAAATGAATAAACAAAGCACCACATTCCTGACTGGATTAGACCCACTGTGTGCTTAGTTTGAAGCAAAAAATAGTGTTTAGTAAGGAGCACTCTATAAGCTTCAGATTTCTGGGGTGATTGTTTATTGCATTTGGTCTGCTTTATTCCTGGATTCATATGTCAGACTCTCCTTGCATCCACACTCTGCTTTTCCAGAACAACCTAATGCCCTAGAATGTGAGTGATATTTCCCACAGGCAAGACATAACTCATTCCTGTTGTTGCAAGAACGCCCCCTTTTCTATAGTATGTATATAATGCACACAACATGACATTTGTCAAGAAAATGATTGAGAGCATTTTACAATGCTGTAACCTAGATTTTATCTCTGTTCCCAGTTTGCAACCTTCAGTAATGTAGCCCCTGCCTGCCATTAAACAGGGGCCATCCACGGACCCACTGTCAAAAAGCTGATGGCCAGAAGAGTCACTGACATTCAGTATCCTGAAGTCATCAGAGGCACTGGAAACGGGCCTCCAGCAGGATCCTCACTCTCTGCCTTGACCCCAGATAAGACCTTCATGACTTATATTCATGTTCCTGCCTCTTGAGGGCTTTAGGAGCTTTGAGAGTGTTGAAGTGGCTTCAGAGACTTATTGCCTCAACCGAGTAACTGTTAATTGTTACCATTCTGGTAATTGATGATTTCAGATGTCACCTGACTGGGTAATAGTGGAAATGTTACTCGGAAAGGTATTTTAGTTGTGTTGGTTCAGTGACTCCCCAGGTGCAGTATTTCACACCAGTGATACCCTTCAAACCCTACTACCTCTCCAGGATGAGGGAGATACAGACCCAGAGGCTTGCTCAGCCCCCATCCCAGCCTTCCTCTGCTACAATATGCATCCCAGTTCTTGGTGGTATCCACCATTTCCATTCATGGCAAAAACTTCATGATGATAATCCATAGGAATGGCATAGGGGAATCATTCAGAAGGAAAATACATTAGTGGTCTTGTCAACAATAGCACCCCATTACATCCTCTGTTGTGTTTCCAAGAAACTGTCACAGGACCTTGCACGTCATGGACATTCATTCAAAGTGAGTTAAATTGGACCGAAGAGCATATGCCAACACTTGATATATCTTCATGGCTAGCTTTTTATTGTTTTGGGATAAATATATCCCACTACTACAGACCTGAAAAAATAAGGGGAAATGGTAATTCTGTCCATCTAACCTGGTCAGAAGATGAGATGTGCTTTCATAATTAAACACATGGAGCTAACTGACACTCAGGTAGAGTAGTCGATGCAGATTACTCATTGGCAATTATTAGAACACATTCCCTGGTCTGAGTGAACACACAGTCTGCAGCGTGGGAGCAAGAGAAGGGGCCGAGCAGAGGGGAAGCTCAGTGGCTGGCACTCAACCCACCACCAACCACCTGTGCCCACTGAGGAGTGAGTGTCCTCGTTCGCAAAGCAAGATGGCTACATGAGATAATTGTGAAGGACGGTCAAGTTCTAACACTTTTTGAGGAGACTAAACAGTAATGTATTGGACATAGACATTTAAAGATTAGAAAAGAAAGGGGAACAATCGGTCTTTAATACCGCATTTCATCAAAAATATCCTTACACATATATCACAGTTTGGGCTGAGTAGCTGACATAGAAGAAATGCCAGAAAATAATGATCTCCAGCGTAACAAAAAGAAATAACATTTTAACTATTTCTGTGTTCTGCTCCTCCACAAAGAGTAATGGAGAAAAGTGCCATCTGAATCTCTCAAGGAGAGGGTTTTACATGAAAGTGGCGGTCAGTGTGGTGTGTAGCCCGTGAGCACAGAGCAGCAGGGAGCTGCCCGTGGACGCTGCCTCGAGTCCCGGCATCCCAGCCAGTTCTTGAAGCTGCTGGAAGAGTCAGCAGGACACAGTGGGGTTTTAGTCTTTACAAAAACAGGACATCCCCCCAGTTCACGTGCAGTTTGAGGCAAACTTTACCACACCCTGGGCTTCTGCTTTCTCACCTGTAAAGTGCGTTGGATGAATAAGGTGACCAGTTTTAGATGCGCATTTAGGGTAAGTTAGAGTAAGTCTGACGCTTATTCCTCATGTCCCTCCTTTTTGTAACACATTTGTTGGAGTGGTTTTGCTCTCTCTCATTCACTAGATGATCATTTGCAGTGTTTACTTTTAAAATTAAAATCAGAATTAATATAAGGGAAGACTTCTTGGAAGGGATTAGGGATTAAGTGCCTGTGAAAAACAGTAAAAAATTCTGAAGTTATTTATCAGAGTATAGAACATGCTGTTTGTATAAGGAAATTACATTTTTCAAAACCTTGTTTAACTTTGTATGACCAGGGCATCTTGCCCAATAATCAGCCAAAATGTTGGTAAAGTGACTCTGGGAAAAAGGCATTAGACACGTCCCAAGGACATTCTGATACAAATTGGAAAAATGTATGCAGTGGATTATCTGTTGAGGACGATTGCTTTGTGCTTCATACTTTGGTAGATACAGCCTTGACTTGGGGAAAAAATCTCCTTGAATATGTATCAAAGAGGCAGCAAAAAGAGTTGACAATTGCTGAAGTTGAAACTGTGTTGCGGCCTGAGGGGTGGGGACAGTGGCACTGCCCTGTCCCATTTCTCTCATTCCTCACAGAGGCGTTTGCACTTTCACATCACCTCTTTCCACCCCCCACCACACAGAGGCAGCCAGAGAAAAATGTAGAAAATGAGACAGGATGGCAAAATGGTAGTGTGTAAAGGAGAACTGAGTCAAAACAGCACTTTAGAAAAGGGAGGGGAAGTTAGGACAGTCACTGGAAGCAGGCCAAAATACTGAAAACCTGGCTACAAGTAAGGTGGGGGTTGTGTGTATGTGTTTTCATGGGTGTTTTTGTTTAAAAATAGAGCCACGGTGTGGATATGCCAGCCAGGAATGGAGCCGAAGCAGGAGCATGGTGGGCAAACTTCTCCTTGGGTCTCACCCTCCGGGCTGCAGGAATCTATTTCCAGAGTGCTGAGATATACCAGATGGCATCATTTTCTTGGGTCTCGAGGTGCCTTTGGAGGAAGAGTATGTGTTGATCCATAGGCCACAACAACTAAAAATCCTAAGATCTCTCTCAGCGGGCCCCGCCACCACCCGGTGTGGGATTCCACATTCACCTGAGCGCTCCAGAGGAGGGTGGGTATGGGGAATCTGCTGAACCTAGAACATCTGTTCAATGTACAAGCTTCATCTTCTTGTTTCCTCAAACACATCCTGAAGTTTTTATAAGGACCCTCCTCCTTTTTATTGGGAATTAATAATTTATTTCCTCATATAACCTCAACCCGCTGCAAACTTGTTCAGCAAAAAAGTGTTGAGCTTCTCAGTAAGTGTTTGTGTAAATTTGAAACCCCTGACAGGACACCTGAATTCTGTGTATGCCCTCTTGATCTTTATTTTGAAGGCATTTCCTTGCCTGAAGCTCTTTGTCTACCTATGGAAATAGGAAAATGCTACGGATTTAGAATGCATTATTCCCTAAGGGTCAAATTCTCAACCCTTTATCCCCTGCAAAGAAATGTCACACATAGGCATCATTCTTATCATTATCCCTCAAGGCAAAAAGTGTTCCATAACAAGCCTAGTGCAATCAAGTAGCCTTTCCTCTATGATTATTTATCATATTAATATTTTGGTTTTGGACTTTTTTCATCCAACTCATTTTTCCATTTACCCCATCAATGATTCTTACATTCTTATTCAATATCAGTATAGATCCTTTTAACGAAGTAATTCAGACATGCAAAAAAGTACAGAGGCATAGAATAGACACCCATTTATTCACCACTGAATTTAAGAATGAAAACATTTTACAAATATAGCCAAAACCTCCTGTATACCCTTTACAGATCCTTCTTCACCCAAATAGCACTGTCCTTGGTTGGTGTTTATCATTCCCTGGCACATTTTTAATTTTTATTAATATACATTAGATAGATAGGTAATTTGTTAGGATAAAGATGAAATTGCTACAGCAACAAAACCTCAAAATACAGCAGCTTAAATGAAATTTATTTAACAAAATAAGTTATAGAGAAGTTTATTTCCACTTCAAAAGTCCTTTAAACACCTTCTGGGGTTTTTTTTTACCCCTCTACCCCTTATAGAGCTATCCTTGTCTGCATGGCTAAAGATGGACTGTTTCCCAGGTAGGGTGGAAAAAGTGGGGCCCAGAGCATGTAGAGACATGTCAGAGTCACTTGCTGACCCTTGCCAGGCAGGTACATACTGGAAACATCGCTTCAGAATTCAAGGCTGTCAAAGGGTGTATTCATGGACTGGAAAACTGTTACGGTGGCAATATTCCTCAGCTTGACCTTCACACTCAACACAATCTCTATCAAAATCCAAGGCACTTTTATTTTGCAGAAATTGACATACTGATCCTAAAATTCATATAGAAATACAGGAGACCCAAAATAACCATTTTGAGAAAACAAAATGGGAGAATCACATGTCACAATTTCAAACCATGTTACAAAGGTGCAATAATCAAGTAGTAGGATACTGCCGTAGGGATAGATATGTAAGTCAGTGAGATAGAATCTGAGTCCAAAAATAAACCCCTGTTTTAACAGTCAACTGACTTTCAATAAGTATGTCAAGACAATTCAATGGGAAAAGAATAGTCTTTTCAACAAAAGGTGCTGGTACAACTGGATATTCACATGCAAAGAGTTGAATGTGAGCTTCTATCTCATCACACGTTCAAAAGGATCCAAGGCCTAAATTAAGCTGAAACCATACAAATCTTAGGAGGAAACACAGGCAAACATTTTCATGATCTAGGATTGAGCAGTGGTTTCTCTCTGCCCAGAAACAGTGTGCTTGACCTTAAAAAATCCTGATTCATACAGTTCTAAAGATCTGTCACAGGGTCATCTGTTGCTCTTGTTACAGCTGAGCTCCAAATGCCATCTTTGAAATGCAGTTAATGTGCAGCTGAAGGTATGCAGCCTGTTTAGATGGTACACGCCCATGTGCAACACGCATACACCGACAGAATTTGTTCACTGCCACTTACAAAGCATGGATTAGTCCCTTCAAAATGTGGGGTCCTGGAAAAAAAAATCCTATACGTGCTTCATTTTAGGTAAGGAAGATGCAGGTAGACACCAGGAGAGGCAATTTCTCTGGGTAAGCGAAGAGCAGAACAGTCATGCTGGTCTTGAAACTGTTTTAAATATAGCCTGGAGTATTTTATACCGTTGTAAACAGAAATGAAACTTGGTTGAAAGCACTACCAAGGCCAGATGGCACAAATGTTATGATGATCTCTACAGAGACTCCAAAAGAGGAACAGAAGAGAGACTCCATCCCAATGGCGGACATGCAGCTGCAGGGAGCTGCGGGGGGTGGGCTGGGGGGTTCCCTGTGAACTGCAAACCCTCACAGCCTTGCAGCACTGAAAAGCCCACTCTGGGTCCCTAAGCAGGGTGTGTGGTTGTGGCAGCAGGAGCAACGTAGGTTTCTCAGCACAGTCCCTGCTCTGCATTCGCTGAAAGGTGCAACAATGTATTATATGAAGGGTTCAAATGTGTTGAGTGCTTACTGTGTACTAGACACTGGTCCAAGAATGTTACCTGTATTGAGTATTTAATCTTCACAACCACCTTATGAAAGGGAGCCATTTTACCAAAATGTGTAAATCGAGACCCCCCAAAGGAGTTAAGCAATGAACCCAATTTATAAAACTACTCATCAGGGTTTGGATTCAGGTCACCTGACTCCAGAGTTTGGATGTTTAACCCTCATTCTCTTTGGCCCAACTGCGCAAATAGAAAAAACTGGAAAATGAAATTGTCTGTTGATGGGTGTATGGGTTTCCTCTTGCTGCCATAACAAATTACCACAAATTTAGCAGCTTAAAACAATACAAAGTTATTGGCTTGCAGTTCTGGAGGTCAGAAGTCAGAAATGGGTCTATGGATGAAGGTCAAATTGCTGGCAGCTGTGTGCCTTCTGGAGTCTCAGAAGAACGGGAGAGTTCATTTTTTACCTTTTCCAGCTTCCAGAGGCTCCTCCTTCCATCTTTAAAATACATCGCTCGCTTTAATTTCTGCTTTGGTTGTCACACGTCCTCCTTCATGGGGTGCCTCCCTCCTGCTTCTTATAAGGACCCTTGTGATTACCTGGGGCCCATGAGATAATCCAGGATAATCTTCCCATCGCAAGATCCTTATTCAATCTCATCCACAAAGTCTCTCTTGCCATGTAGCAAAACACATTTATAGGTTCCAAGGATTAGAGTGTGGACATCTCTGGGGGGCTGTTTGTCTAACACAAACAGGGGACTAATAAATCCACACATTTATCTGCATCCTATGTTTCTTTAAAAAAAGGAAAAAGTAAGGAAAGGCACCGTTGCACGGAGCACACTAGCTAACCTGTGCTGGCTACTTGACCTAAGTGAGAGACACAGCTTTGCTGTTTTAAACCACTTAGATTTGGGACGTTGTTTATAATCCTGGCAGCATCTAGTCTATCCTGCCTAAGAGAGGGCAGTTGACTGAGATAACCCTAGGGTATCCTCCCAATATCCCAACAGGGTTGATAACTCCTTATGGCTGCACATTCTTCTAATGTTTAGGAAATTTTACTGAAACTTCTTTTAGGTACTCTTAGGACAGGCAGTAGCTGACTGGTCCTGAAAAGCCAAGGGCATCACTAATTTGAATGCTGGTTTTCATATGAGGAAAGTTAATCTGTCTTTTAATAGCCCACTGTTACTTGGATTTTCTCATACTTGCAGCCAAAAGTATCCCAAATGGGTAGAAACCCCAATGACTCCACTTCCCTTAGACTTAGATCTCTTTTAACTTGGCCAATTTATAATGTGAGATGAACTGAAATTCAGTCTCCTAATCCTCTGAGGTTGAATATATGTTTCCACTGTAGCTCAAGAGAGGTAAAATCTAATATTACCTATATTCCTAAAGTTCATGTACAAATTGTTTCTTGCTTCTAGTCCAACACACAGCAACCAGCCCTACCTCTAAACTTTTAATGGTTCCTCCCTCCTTACTCTCATAATAAATTCCAAATTGTGTAAGCTTTTTATTAATTGTATTTCAGTCTCAGCTACCTACTTACTGGAATTGACTTCCTACTGCCCCCCTGCATTTACTTAGACTTAGATCTCCCTACCCAGCAGACAGACTGTTTGATACTCTCAGAATATACACTGTACTTTGCTTTGCAATGTACCCATTGCAAACAGACTTTAAGGGAGAAGGAACCTATTTTAAATATTGCAGGCTTAAACCAAGCAGCGAAATATTAAGACGTAAAATCTCAGTTGCAGGCAAATCAGAGCAGTGTGTGCTAGTGATGCGTTTCAGTGAACACAATTATTAACAGACTGTTCTCGGCTCCTCTGAGCCTAATTAGCCAAAAGCTCAGCTGGGTGCTAAAGGCATTAGGAGAAAAATAACTGTGGACTCTACCTTCACAGCAACAGGTTAAAACTGTTGATTTATGACTCTTGGCAGGAACAATTGGCCCCATGCCAGGGGATACCACAGTGGCAGCCAAAGACGCAAGTGGTGATCCCCCAACCCCACCATGAGGACAGTGCTCCAGGGCTCCCAACTGACCTGAATTTGTATGCAGTGACACGGTCAGAAACTCAAGATGAAGTGTGAGAAGATGGGCACCTCTTGGGAGTAGCCAGGGCCAGCCCGGAGGTACATCACCGCTTTGCTCTTTGCCTCTCAACCCTCACTCCCCTGTCTCTTGCCCAGTGTAGTCTCCTGCCAAGTGTCTAGTGCTTTCCTGCTGATCCCAGCTGTTTCTTCCTAGAGGTGGCTGGCAATCATTCAAACCTCTGATTCTTTTCTTTTAAAAACCACCAGGTCCCTCCTTCTCTCAGGGCCGTGAAAAGGGACAGGAGGGAGTGTAGCCTGATAAAAGTATTCACACTAAAGTGTTTATGGTTAAATGCATTCCCCTCCCAGGGATGTTTGCAGCTTACATGCTGGCTTCTGGACACCAAAGCCTTAATGCAAAGAAGTGAATCTTTAATAGATATTTCTGTTCTAGGAAGAATGGTGTGGAAGTGGAAGCTTTAGGCATCTCTTAAAAATTCACTTTGAGATAACCATTCTTATAACGTAAGGCCATTCTTGCTGGCAAACTGAAACGCGTGTTGGGAGAAATAGAGGAGGCTCTTACAGAGCTGGTCTTCTGGGCAGTGCGGCAGTCATGGGCTGGAAAGCAAGCAGGCAAGGAGGGATTGGAGAGGAAAGGGTGTTTTTAAAAGACAATACAGTTCGTTCCTAAGAGAAAGAGTGTTCTCCCAATTCCTGGAGCACTTTAAAATTCTCCTTCTCTTCTAAAATTGCACATTTTCCGAATGTTTTTAGATTACTAACTTTAATAGGTATATAAAAGTTTTAAAACTTTCCAGAATGGGAATGCAATATGGTATAGCCACTTTGGAAGACAATTTGGCACTTCCTTACAAAACGAAATATGCTTTTACCATGTGATCCAGCAACCATGCTCCTTGGTGTTTACCAAAGGGGTTGAAAGCTTATGTCCACACAAAGACCTGAAACAGATACTTACAGCAGCTTTATTAATAATTACCCACACCTGGAAGCAACCAAGATGCCTTTCAGTAGGAGAGTGGGCAAATACATGGTGATACATCGAGAGAGTGCGATGTTATTCAGCACTAAGAAGTGAGCTATCAGCCATGAAAAGACATGGAGGAACTTTAAGTGTGTATCACTAAGAGAAGCCAATCTGGAAGGCTGTATGCTGTATGATTCCAACTCTGTGACATTCTGGAAAAGGCACACCTATGGGAACTGAGAACATATCAGTGGTTGCCAGGGGTGAGGAGGAGAGGAAGGGAGGGATGAATAAGTGGAGCACAGAGGATGTTTAGGGCAGCAAACTACTGTATATGACACCACAATTATGGATACATTTATCCAAACCCACAGAATGCACAATACCAAGAGTGAACCATAATGTGAACTGTGGGTTTTAGGTGACAATGATGTGTCCATGTAGGTTCTTCTGTTGCAACAATTGTCCCGTCTGGTGGGGCTGGTGATAGTGGGGAGGCTATGCATGGGGGGAGCAGAAGGCATTTTGGAAAGCTTTGTACTCTCCCCTCAGTTTTGCCGTGAATCAAAAACTCTAAAAAATTGTCTTAAAAAAAACTTACCAGTATTGATTATTTTTCTGTAGATTATGTGTTATCTTAAATGTTCACTGCCCACATCTGCCAACTAGAAACATATTGAGTTTCGGGCAAAAGGACTTTTTGCCTTAAGACACTCAGAATAGTATCAACCATGAGTATATTGTCTGCAGGTTATAAAGGGTCTCCCATTAATATAGATAATTGTCTTTTCATAAGGGTTAGGTAAGTGCCCTAAGCTCTTTTTTTTTCATTTAAAATTTGCATGCTCGTATTCTTTTTTTATTGAAATGTATATTTTTCCTTATTACTTACATCATACTAGTTTACTAGAAAAAAACTAGAAAACAGTAATCATAAAAAAGAAAAGCCCTCCATAACTCCACAATGTTGAATTATTCTCATTTTTTCTATGCATATTAATTTCTAAAAATCAGGATCATAACACACACACACACACACACACACACACACACTCTGACTTGCTCATCACGTTCCCTCTCCCAGGAGTTTGGAATTGGAAATACTGAGTCCATTAGCCCATGATGGAGGGCTTTGTACTGAACAGTCCTGAACAGTCCTGGGGCTGGTGAAATAATTAAAAAACATACCACCTGCAAACAGAAGTTCTGAGGGAGCAGAGATACCATGAGGAGATGAAGCGAGCTTATCTACTACAAATGGAGGCAGGATAGCAGGGTGGGCTTGTAGAGAGAGGAAGGACAGGAGTGTATGGGTGGGAAGGGGGCCTTGGTACCTATTTCTAGTCCAGCTCCATGAGCTAGCTGAAGTGCATGTCTGTGTTCATGAGTTTGTTTTGACTTTCTAATATTTACTTTACTTTACCTGTTTACTTATTTCAGCAGATTTCAATGGAAGAGATTGACTAAGATCATCTATTAATGTCACTTTTAATAGCTGCCTAGTTTTCTCTTGTATAAATACATAATTCAATTAGAGAATTCCTTGTTGGCTATGTATTAAATTGTTTCTATTTCTTAACTATTCTAAAGAACACTGTAGCAAACATTATTGCAACAAAATCTTTGCAAATATTTCCCTAGGGTAAATGTTTAGATGAGGAATCATGGGTTGAGGGGAATTAATATCATTTATGTGCTCCATTCCCAGGAGCTGTATATTTGATAATTCCCATTGTCTGTATCCTTACGTATATTAAGTTGACAATTAAGAAAAGAAACCATTGTGCCAGGTGAAGTGGCTAAAAATACTGTCGGTATTAATTTACATTCCTTTCATTACTGGAGTTGCACATATTCCATATATTTATTGCTCACTTTTCTTCCATTAGGAAATACTTGGGGTGTCTTTTTCTCATTTTCTTCTTTTTATTTATTCGTTTATGTCTTCTTGATTTATGAATGTCTCTCCTTTTAAAATTAAAGATATTAAACTTGATTCTCACATATTGAAGTTACTTTCTCCTCATTAGTTATTTGCTTTTTACTTTTATATATGAGACATTTTGATATATGTTAAAAATTTCTTTGTTTTGTCATGTGTAGTGATAATTTTCCCCATTGGTTGATTCCTTTGATGTCATACCTAGAAAGTAGTTCACCTAGCTAAGATTATGTAATTACATGTTTTCATTTTTAAGTGCGCATGTTCAAAAAAATAGTGAAATACCATAGTGTTTAGAAATCAAACACTTAAGTGACATACAGTGGAGACAAAAAGCACCATATGCTAAAATAAAGACAAGATCTATCACTCACCGTTTTTAAATTTTAGGCTCACAGAAAGTTACCAATTATAAACCCATTCTGTCCATAGAAAAACAAAGCAGGAGTTTTATCTCAAAATAAAGTTTTAAAAAAGATTTCTATCCTGTCTTAGACTTGTCTGTATTATTTAAGTCATTAAACATGAGCAGGGAAAAAAATGAGACATGAAAATATTAAGTAATTCAGGTGGCAAAGACTTACAACTATTTCCGTCCTTCCTGTGGATAAAATTGCAGAGGCAATGATGAGAGAAAATTCACTCTAGACCTCCCAAGTCAGACAACTCCATTCCTTTGTGTGCTGGAGTAAGAATAGTTATTTTCTGAATATGAACTACTGTCATCTAGTGGATCACACAGTGCATCACTGACGTGCTCCTATTCAGAGACATCCCTGGAGAGTCTTCGGCCGAAGAAGTCTGCAGCCTGTAATTCACATGATTATTTTTACTATCATTTTTGGTGTCTTGTAGCTAAAGAGAGAAATAAAATGAGGCATTGAAGTTTTACAGGAGTTGTTCAGTAATGAGAGATGGCACAGACCAGGGATGCGAGAGGTGGAGGAAGAGAGGAAAAGGGGAGATTAAAACCAACATTATCAAGGGAATATGGCAAACTAGCTGCTCTGTATCTGAAGTAGAGGTATTACCCCATTTTACAGAAGCAGAAATGGAAGCCCAGAGGGGTCTAGCAACTTTCTGTTGTCACACAGCCAATGAATGCAGGAGCTGGGATTTGAAATAATAGGAATAAGTGAAGATGACAGGAAAGGTCAAAATCTACCATGAGATACATGGAGGGGAACAGCTTCTTAATTGACAGATGGCTTGTGAGTCACACATCAATCCTGAAGGGTAGTGTTCAGATAGACAACTTAGAGTTGAACACTGGATTCTTTCTGAATTATATCAAACATAAAAATGCACATCTTAGTAAGAGTGCCTTTGGTTGGTATGTGGACAGTCTCCTTCCTACTCAGGATGGTTTGACTTCATCATGATGCAAAAGCAATATGCATTCAATAGAAACCACACTCCAATTTTGAATTTAGATCTGTTTCTAGGTTGGCAGGATGGGATTGATCTTCCCTCATACTGCTGGGCAGGACAGTGATCCGCAGCTCCCAGGTAGTCATGCCATCACAAGTGTCAACAGCCGAGACACTGACAGCCACTCTGTCCCCTGACAACTCTTCTATTTTTCACTTTCAGCACAGTCTCCAGTAAGTTACATGAGGGAGTGAACCCTTTATTATCTAACAGTCTTTGTGTTAGATGGTTTAACCCAACATCAGGCTAATGTAATTGTTCTGAACACATTTAAGGTAGGCAAGGCTAAGCTGTGGTGTGCAGTAGGTTAGATGTATTAAATGCATTTTCCACTTAATGATACTTCCAACTTACATGGGTTTATCAGGATGTAACCCCATTGTAAGTCAAGAAAGGTATATATTAATTTTCCCTTTTCAAGATGCTTTTACTTATGTAACTCAGGACTTGTACTTACCCTTTGCTTCAGGGTCAGAATAGCTGCTAATAGATTATATGTAAGAATATCTATAAATACCTTGCAATTTTATGCCCTTATCAAATAAGACCCAAGCCTCGTCAGGATATTTCCAGACTGAAAATTGAGAGATGTCCTTCTCAACAATATACTCCTTTAAGGAGGGCCATGCTTCCCTGTCCACATCCTAGCACCAGATAATGAATGCTTTCTGCAGCCACAGCTCACTGATTTCTATTCAAAGTGTATGCCTTGCTTTCTCTCCAAAATAAAATCAT